TCTTCTGCAAGAACAACCAGTGTTCTTAACTGCTGAGCCATCTCTTCAGCCACAAATTATGAACATTTTAATGTTAGTTTCCATAACTGTATATTTTATGATTAGATATTTGGTATTAAGGATTTTTTTTCAGTTTTATTTTTAGGGCATAACAGTACAGACTACTGTTTATGTATCTTTGAATTTGTATACAGGAACTTGAGTTCTCTGGTGAACAGTTGACGTTATGTTAATAGTGCAATATTCTGCTTGGGCTACTCCTTTTTGAATGATGCTATAAAATATGCGTCTCATAAAAAGGGCTTACTCAGTAGTTGACGATTATACTACAGTAAGGTAATTTGCTTTTGAAAGGTCTTTGCACCAAAGGAGGTGTTATGTACTGAAACTCTTCATTTATTGCAAAATAGCTTAAAGATTCTGGTGAGATTCGGGCAAGAATGAAGTTGAGATCAGGAGATGGGTCACAGCTCTTGTTTGCTTCTCTTTTGCCATGGTGGTTAAGCTCTGACCCAAACAGCATCTTGGGGAAGAAAGGGTTTATTTCAGCTTGCAAGTCACAGCCCATCATGGAGGGAAGCCAGGAGAGGGGCTCAAGGCAGGAACTGAAGCAGAAACCATGGCTTGCTTCTTCTGGCTTGCTCAGCTATATTTCTTACATAGTCCAGACCCACAAGGATGGTATCGCCCACAGTGAGCTGGGCTCTTCTCTATCAGTTAATAATCAAGATGTCCCACAGGTATGTCCACAGGCCAAGCCGATGGAGTTAAGTCCTCAATTGAGGTTCCTTGTTTCTAGTTTGTGTCAAGTTACCATAGGTTTTTACAGTAGAAAAACTGTATCCCATCAGTTTATTTCATGAGCAAAACAAATTATAAGTAATGTTAAAATTTAGACAGAAGAATATTCCATGAGGAACCTGAGGAACTATGAGCATAGTAAGTAATTAACAGTTACAATAGAAATTTCTATTCCAGAGGCAAATAATAGTTGTATTTTTCATAATTTACCTTTAGCACAATTAAATCTTTTTATACTTCAAAAATATTAAGTATAAATCATCTCTGAATTACTTGGATTATGTTACTTTAAAAGGAGTACTAAAATGATAGAAATTAATTCCAGCATTTATATTCTTGAATCTGATACTTGTTTATAAAAACTTGACTGCAAACACATTACTACAGACACATAATATAAAGCTTTCCAAACATCAAAATCAAAATTATATGCCTAATTGTTAAAGAACTTGGGTACATTATAATCCTGTCTTCGTCAAACAATTTTACTAGAACTCTGTTCTGGGAACTGTTAATATTATACACATACATACATACATGTGTACAAATATACAAACGTGCTATGGCCAAATATATCTAGAAAGCATTTTGCAATATATGTCTGTCTGGGATTTTTGATGTATATAGCATTATATTAAAGTATTTAAGAAGTGTTACAATACATAAAGCTATTTAGTTATTTAACACAGAACCCTGTTTTACTACACTCAGAACCAGGCAAGGGTTATAGTAATCAATTATATATAATTTATAAATATATGTTAACTGATAATATATACTGCAGTGCACTGTTTTGTAATCATTGACTGAATTTTTCCTCAGTGAGAAGATTCAGAAGCACTCTTATTTTTAACTTAAATTTTGACAAAAATTGTATATTCCGACGTATACAACATGCTTTGCTATATGGAGACATTGTGCAATAGTTTAATCCATTAACAGATGCCTTACTTCACATACCTTCTTTTATAGTGAAATCACTTAACATCCACTCTCAGCAGTTTTCAAATGTATAATACTCTGCTACCTTGCTCTTACAGTCACGGTGGTGTTTAATAGATCTTTTCAACTTATTTCTCCTGTCTAACTGAAATATTGTGTCCTTTGAACACCTCCCATTCTCCCCACCCATACCCTCTGATAGCAACCATTTTAGTTGCTATGAAAGAATAGATCCATCTTTGAGTGATTCAAAATTCTTTATTTCCTAGTCATACTTTAAAATATTTTTATTAACATGTATTAGTTGTATGTATTAATAGGGTTCAGTATGACATTTCAATTATATATATATATATATTCACTAATAAAATCAAGGTTGTGAGCATTTCTCCTATCATTTGTTTAAAGTCTTTGAACTCTTTTTTTATTGTTGTTGCTTTTTGAGACAAGGTCTCCCTGTAGCTCCAGATGGCCTGGAACTCCTATGTAGATAAGGCTTTTGATTTCACAAAGATCTACCTGCCTCTGCCTTCTGAGTGCTGGGATTAAAGGCATGTGAACTCTAAACTCTTATTAATAAATAGCAGGTTATTGTGAACTATTCCTTTTATCTGTGTTTGGTAAACATTATCCAGAACATAATCTTTGAGGTCAAAGAATTCATGAAACATTTTGGTGAGCCTTGGAGGCCATTTAATAGCACTTTAAATTTTTTAAAATTTATGGATGCATGAGTGTTTTGCCTTCAAGTATGAGCACCACAAGTGTGCAATACTTGCAAAGGCCAGAAAAGGGCATGAGATCCCCTAGAATTGAATTATGGTCTGTTAGCCACTGTGTGTGCTGTGCACCAAACCTGTGTCCTCTGCAAGAGCAGCAAGTGCTCTTAACCATTGAACCAGCTCTCCATTCCTTAATAGCACTTTTAGAAACAGTCTTGTTATTACTGTTATGTTCTTCTCTTTTAGTCACAGTAAAATCAAGTTTCTGTTGGGTTTGAAAACAATCATTCTGCGTTCTTATTGTTTCAACAACAGCAGGTTCATCTTAGACTCAATATTGTATAACATGTATTTTTAATCATGCTTAAACCAGTCACTCTACAAGCTAAAGAATAAAGATGAGATATGATTGTATCTAATGAATCCACTATACTAAAACATATCACTGCATATTCATTTACCAAGTTATTATTGTCCTTCAAAATTGACATCCTAAGAGATGAATTCCAAGAGTGATAAAAAATAGATAAAAATATTACTGGTATTTTTTCAGAATTGCCTTTAAGTGGTTTCCTAGATGTATATACTACAGTAAATTATATTTATAGTTCTATTTTTCCTCTTAATCTTTTCCTCCTTCATTTAATCTTTGGCTTACATCTGCTCTTTCCCTTTTATCTCTTCTGGAAACTTATGTATTTCTCAAGAGCCAGTTGTTCAGAGTAGGTGGTGAGTGTAAGACCAGAACCTAGTTTATTATTCTTAACCAGCAATGTGTTAAGTCATCTAAGGAGTAACCTAATAGCCTTTTAGAAACAATTCTATAAGACCTAGAAAAGGTGGGACTTTCCTCCTCCAATGCTGTTACCTTTTGATTTGGCTGATTTATCATAAACAAAATTCATCTGCTGAGCTTCTAGTTTGGCACACTTCCAGAAACTGTAAGGAATACAAAAAATTATGTAACCATAACAGTGGTTCGTCTTAACTTTGATTGCTTATCAGAATTACCCAGTGGAACATTAAAACAGAAATAAACATAGATCCTAACACCAGCCTTGGAAGAATTTGATTCCATAGGTTTTATGTGAGACACAGGAACCTGAACTGTTTTTTTTTTCTTTTTTTTTCCCCCAGACAGGATCTCATTCTGTAGCTCAGGCTAGCCTTGATCCTTTTGCTTCATCCTCTTGAGTGCTAGATTATAGGTATGCATCACCATACCTTGCTGGAGTCTGTACTTTTAAAAGTTCTCTGGTCTAGTGATTCAAATGTACAACTTGGTTACTAATCATTAGCTCATAGGAAGAATCTTAGGACATGGGTGGTTCTTAAATATAATACATTAGGAGGTTAATTTGTGTGCAATCTTTATTGTTGCTAAAAGTGCTATAAAATAGTATCTAGAATGATCATATACAGAACCATGGAATAAGAGAGCAGGAAAGTACTCTTTATAAATTTTTCATTATTTCATTGCATGTTTTTTGAATCCTTGGATTTAATCATTTTTCCCTCTTATTGTTTTGAATAGTTTAAATTTCCATTTAAATTTATTTGTATAGGATCCTGCTGGCCATTTTCATCAAGTGTGGTATGATAACCCCCAGAGCATTTCATTAAAGGCAGCATATATCCAAAACCATGGCTTACGGGGTATTGGCATGTGGAATGCAAATTGTCTTGACTACTCGGAAGATACTCTCGCCAGACAGCAAACTGAAGAAATGTGGAAAGCCTTAAAGCCAAAGCTGAGATGGAATGAACATTTTTTGCCAGACTATTAAGATTTACAAGAATGGTCTGTATAAATAGATCTAACTTGTTGAAGAGATAAAAATGTATATATTTTGTCAAGTTGCCATAACTCTACTTCTTAGTATACTCAATAAACAGGTAAAAAAATGAAGAAATTCTTTATATATGAAAAATCTGTATCTTAAATATCCAGGAATTTAAAAGCAAGAAACAAGTCAACTTAATATATTTCTCTGTTTCAACATTATAATTTAATTAGAAAAATTGCTTTTAGATTTTTCTTTTGCCATATTTTCCCTCCTGAAATTAAAATATATAATGAAACACATTATTTTGTGAAATTAACATATATTAATAAAGCACTGACAAAAATTATGTGTAACTTGAAGTGGAAATTTTTTGCTTAGAACAGTCTTTAAAACTTAGCCTTTGAAAACAGTTTGCTTTGTATTACTTTTTTTCAACAAATCTTAAAATTTAGAGTCAGGAATTTAGTATCTCCCCTTTAGATTAATCAAACTGATTAGAAACAATTTTTCTGCTTCTGGACTCCTTAAAGAAAATGCAAATGTTCCATGAGATACTTGAATTAAAGTCTCTTAAACTTCCAGATAATGAACAAGTAAAGATAGGCATATGAATTAAATGTGCTTAGAATATACAAGATAACTTAGTAATATTCTGAGTTAATAAATTAAAGCCACCTAATGTTTTTCAACTAAATTACTTTTATAAGCTTTATAAGCTTTAAAAAATTTATGTCTAATATGTTTTTCTTTTGAGACAGAGCCTTAACTGGTCTGGAACTGGCTGTGGAGACGAAGATGGCCTCCACCCCACAGAGATCCACCTGCCTCTGCCCCCGGAGTACTGTGATTAAAGGTGTGTGCCACTGCACCTGGCTGTGTGTACATTTTTTACAATAATAACCTGGTGTTGAACTTAGTACTATTCACTGTTATGATTCTAAATTATGCATATTCCTTCACTTTTGGACACTTAGGTTAACTTCTTCTACATCTATATTTTGCTTTTAGGTTATCTACAAACAGTTTCTCAACTTGTTCCCTTTTCTAAAAAGATTAATTTTATGAAAATACATGTCTAAATGTAAAGCAGTCTTTGTTCTCTTTCTCAAGGCAATTAAGAGCAACACTGCATTGTTTAAATGCCTTCCTGGAAATATGTAAAGTACTTGTGTCCTTTGAATTCTGTTTACATAAATCCTGTCTTTTCTGCCCATCATCCCCTCCACATTGGATTAATTAATGCTTCAACCATTTGATATGAGAATATTATGTTATAAACATAGTTGTTTATAACAGAGTAAGATTATTTCTATAGTACATTTTGAATAACTATATTTCTAAAACTCATTTTACATTTCTAAATTAATTTCTAAAGTAAATCAACATAAATCAAATTGTTAGATAAGAATTTGTCATGCCTGTAGGTGTAATTACTTTTAATCAAAAAATAGTTAACAAATCTATTTCCATGCAAATATACTGGTACTTATTAAAATATATGGTTTGCTTTATAATTTAAAGTCTTTAAAGTTAGCCTTTAAAATGTAGGGTTATTAAAAATAAGCAATTATAGAATATAACACTGCAAAGCAATAGGTAATAGACTCAAAAATCTTCAAATTAAGCAGCCATAATTTAGATTTATGCTGTACTTTGTAATACCTACACAAAAAGTAAAGATTAAATCTTTTTGTTTGTTTGTTTGTTTTTTGGTCTTTTTGAGACAGGGTCTCCCTGTAGCCCCAGCTGTCCTGGAATTCACTGTGTAGACCAGGCTGGCCTTGAACTCACAGAGATCTGCCTGCCTCTGCCTCCAGAGTGCTGGGATTAAAGGCGTGCACCACCACGCCCAGCTAAATCTTATTTTTTAAAAACTTATTAACAGATGCATAGACTTTATGACTTACATAAAACATTGCTAAGGAACTGTTAACTAAATATTTAAACTTTTCTAGAGACAAGTTAAATGAACATACCTAATGGAGATCGGAAAGATGTACTAGTTTTCTTCCATGTTAGCTCAGCTTTCAATGTTTGTAAATCTGAAACTGCTTGTTTTCTCATCTACAAAAAGAATTACTTTTCAAAAACGAACTTTACTGTTCCCATCTAAGACTGCATGATGATTTCATTTGTGTAGCTGCTTGGACTGTCCTTTCATTTGCCCTTGTGACTTCCTTCTTAATAGATTACCATAGTAGATTCATAGATCATGTGTCCTGTTTAATAAACAAACTTATCTACATGCGATATGAGATAATTTACTTTGAGTATATAAAAGACAGTTGAACTGTCTCAAAATCTAGAATAAAAAACCTTTTTACTTAAGCTTCAAAATTTGTTGTTCTCAATGTATAAATAGTAAAGCAAATTATAACAGAACCCTTTTTTAGCAGGACACTTCTATTACTCATCTCTACCTACCCAGCTGTTCTTAGACACTCCCATCTTGGCTTTCTACATGTTGAATACACAGTTTCCTTCAATGGAAAATGTTTGACTGCACACTGTATAAGAACACTTAATTCCTATTTTATTGGTCGTTCTTTGTTCCTTTTTAGTGTTTTAAGTTTTAAGCTTCTCAGTTCTGAGCTAGCTTTGAGGTAAGTGAAATATATCTACAACTGCATTGTCCAATGTCGGAGCCAGTTGTAAGTTTAAAATTAAATAAAATTTTAACTTTCTTAATCACACAAACTACATCTAAAGTGCTCAACATTTCTAGGTGGTAGAGGCAACCATATTCAACAGTAAGGTATACAATGTTTCTCTTCTAGAAAGTGATAATTATTCTCGCCATAAAGTTATTTTCAATAGAGTGAATGGAGAACTTTCTGCA